AACAATAATAATAAAATGAAAATTTGCGTATGCATCTTATGGTTATGTTAGAATATTTTTTGTACATAGTTTTAGGCTTTCAACTTTTTGATTTATTGATAAAAAGTTTGTTATCAAAATTGGCTGTCGTTCACGCCAATTTTAGATGACACCAGCCCAGGCTCGTCCGGTAAAGAAAGATTTCAATCGGCATATAAGCTATAAAAATTTGCTTTATTTTCCAAACACACACACACACACACACACACACACACACACACACACACACACACAATTATGCGAATTGAAGGTAATATTATTGCCATATGTGAGAGCATTTCTGTTAACATTGATGTGTATTGACCAAGCATTGAACTGTTGAGCTCGCAAGAGCGTATGTTACGCGTGACCTTGAAGTTTCGTACTCCACAGTGTATTGCTATGCTCTCATATAATGCTTGGCAAGCCGTAGAACAGAACATGAACATTTCCATCACGAAATTATTTTAAGGAAAGGAGTTCAAATTTGACTCAATGGTTCCTCTGTTATGTATACGCGCATTGGCCAAGTCAAAAACTTGAAATATTTACTCAAAATGCTTTTTCTTTCAACGGCTCGCGTTACTACGCCACGTCTGTTGCTTATCTTCGCGAGAATAATAATAATTTAGCCCAAGGCCCGCTTCGGGTTGGAAGGGGATTGGTTCAGGCCATAAACGCGATCACTCCACAAGTCAAAGGCATTCTATTAGAAACATTCGTAATTCGCAAATCTTTCTAACAAACATCCCTTAGTAATAATATGTCGGCATTTCAAATGGATGTAAAATATTTGGTCTGGATAGGGCAATTCTTTTCCTTCTCTTCTTCTTCGCTTTTTCATGTAGCTCCTTCTAGCCTTTTTAAATGTTGTACAGAAAGCAGATAAAAAATAGTGATATGACATATAGACTTATCATGCTAAGTTTAAATCACGTGGAACTATTTCCCTATATAAGGGTTTGATGAAAAGTGTTACTTATATGCTGAATAACATATAAGTTCAGCTTTTGCGGCTATCGCATATAAGGACTCCAATAAAAAATATGTCTTCACATAGGCAGAATTTTGCTTAATTTTTTAAGAATCATTCTAGGCAAAGTGATGTAAGGAACTTGGTTGCCCGCCTTGCCCGACAATAATGTTGTAATTTATTTTAATATACGTTCACGGCAATTGTTGCACGTTTCAGCTCTCCGTGTAGACCTATAGAAGATAGAATAAAGAATTAGATTAAATTGATCAACAGTTTCGTGCAGGCCTCTCAGCTGTCTATTTTTGATTGTCACAAGCACATGGTATCACTATGGAGCTAAATGCTTGCAATGGCTGAAGTTAGGGGATTTGAATATGTAACCCGGTGTAGCTTGGTTGATGTAACAAAAAGAATATAAATTTAAAAAAAACGGAAAGAAACGGAAAACGTACGTATGTCCGTTGTATGTCAAGTGTTCAACTTTTCTATCACTGTTGACTTTTCACAACGCGTCCTCGCTCAGTACAATGTCGGACCATCGTCAAGTACGTATATCCGTCCGTTAAGTCTACATTTCGCCCTTCCGTCGCATGTACGCTCTCATCCTCAATCCTCATCCCATCATAGCAAAGCCATTAAGACAACTTTTCTGCTTCATATTACAATTCGTGTTATGCTCACAGTGTGCTGTTGTTTTCACAATAGAAAGTAGAACATTAACTGAGTTGCATGCATTCTTACAGAAGGAGCAAAAAAAAAAAAATAATAATGTATTATATATATCAGATAAAGCTTTGTAATGAACAATCATTTCAAAAATAATTTCTTTTTTTTTTCATTTACAAAGCACAACAAGTTTATTTTGATTTAGTAGAAACGTATCGTTCAATTATATCAAAATTTTGCCAACTGCGTCATAGATTTTCTTAAGAATAGATTTTATCACTTCCTTTGGTTATTCATTGAATTATGGTAAGGATGGTCAGTATGGAATTCTCCTTTCGATATACAGTGTCGTCAAAGTAGATTATCCCGTCAGTCATAACGCTTATTGATTCGACATACATTCACCAAGTTGCGGCCACTACCTTCCTATTTCTTGCTGATCGTCATCGCATTACGCGAAGAGGGAACACGGTCTGAGTGAAAAAAAAAAAGATGTGAATTTGTCACAAATATGTATTGCAAGTCTATTGGCCTTCGTGTTACATTGGAGCATTAGCTTACTGGCAATGACCGTCAAGATTGTTTGCGTTATTGGTGATCAACTCTGGACAGAAACCCAAAGGCAGTCAGTCACTTCACTTGAAATCATTTTTAAACGAAAATGGCATGAACCAATCAATGTCTAAAATAAGAGAAAATTCATGTTCATATCTCATTTACCGTTCAGTTTTTATTACACATTTCAAAAAAGAGAACACCACTCACTCGATGACCCCATATATATATATACAGAGGTATTTTTGCTCAACTTCAATGCGTGGAGAGCAAATCTTTTGATTGCAATTCCATTGATCCCTTTGAATTTTCCCTGGAATTAAAATAAATAAGATCCTATCATGTTTCACTGACTGTTGCATAAACGACGTGTGCGCGTATGTGCGTATGAATGTATTTTTACTCCTTTTTTTGTGCGCCATAGCACAAAAAATAGCAAAGACTCGCTATACTTTCTCGAATTCTATTAAACAGACTGACTTTATTTTATTTTGCACATACCCATCCTTATGTTAGGACAGATAGACGCATTCTCCTTTCCTACGCTCTCTTCGTTGTGCAAAGCTGTTATCCTGTTAGCAATAGCAAAGAAAGAAAACGCAAAACGAATTAGTTAAGACGTCCATTGCTAGTAGCCGCCATAAGAAGATATTACGTACTATGGTAATGGCTTTCCTCTTGTTTGTGATCAGTCATTCTGGTGATGCTTCCTATACGTGATGATCAAAAATGCTTGTAGGAGGACAGCGGTAGAGGGAGGGAGCAGTCTTTGTGAATGTTCGTCTTGAAAATGGAGACATGCGGTTAGTATGGTCAAAGAAGAACGAATCGTGGTACTGTGTTGTGTGATATGCAGAACGAGTTGGTGGGAATGCAGAAAAAACATGAACAAGTAAAAAAAGTTCTCTCTCTATACGCTGTAGAGGAATTTATCGGAGGCAATTTTTCCATGCCTACCATCGTCATTGCTCAAGGTGCAGCTATAAGTAGAAATGTCTAACCGCGCTACGTGGCCTGAGGCAATTCACACGATACTTACATAAAAAAACCATTTTAGTTTCACAACACTGGGTTATTCAAACATAGTATCCATCCGAGTGGCCGAGTAGGCAAGAGTCTCGACTAGCAAGTCAATGGTCGTGGGTTCAAAGCTCAAGTGCGGTAGAGTTTTTTAATAAAAGCCGAAATCCTTAGATGCTAGTGCTTTAAGGCGTTTTAGTCTTAGAATTTATTCTCTGACTAAATTTATAATAATAATAATAATAATAATAATAAATATAGTAGACATGTTTGGGGAGAGAGAAAATCATCAACCAAATTGATGAGATTAAGTTGGTGGAAGTACATAACATGTACGAGTATCAAGGTTTCGGATTCTTTTTTCCATTTTTGAAATTTCAAAATTGAAGGAATTATCAACCAACCTTTCGAGTCTAATGTAAATGCAATGCTTAATGAAGCCTAGTTAGAAACGAAATGATAAATGTAATATATTTTTATAATGCGGTAGTGTGTATTTAACGTATTTATAGCTTGTTTATTATCACTGTTAATAAAGAGCATCAAAGGATTAAAACTAAATTACGTTTTCTATTCTGTTAGTAGCTTATCGCAATTTGCTTCGTAAAAAAACCAAACCATGCCGCAAAGCAAAAAAAAAAAAAAAAAAAAAGGAAAAAAAAAGAAGATTTTTATACCCATGTATCTGTAATGTTTATGGTTATTGTATGAAAATATTTTCAACTTTAAAATTGCAAAAAAATCTCATATATCTATCTATCTATCTATCTATCTATCTATCTATCTATCTTTCATTTCTGCTTTTTAAATAGGAACGATTTAGCGACGTTTCGTAGATAATTTTGCCATCATGCACTTGTTAATTAGTTGGGGAATGATATTTTTTAAATATATAATTTTAATGAGCAGAACATGTAATTACGGATTAAAATTAACCTATCGTAACCGTATTCGTAGAATTGTGTGATTAGCATCAGTTGATTGGCAAAGGACCGCGTAATGATATACGTAATACAAAATGCCATGAAAGTGCATTCTTTAAATGATATCATTATGCATAACTTGAAAATGCGTTGCGTTATGTATGGCATTTCGATAATTTCAATAAATTTTTTTTCATTATCTTATGCCTTCTTATATCGATACTTATGTATTATATATTAAAAGCAATTTATGCTAATTTAAACGCTCTTAACGCCGAAAACTGGTAGAGATCTTTTTAAACACTGTATAGTATGCCACCTTTCTACATGTGTATAAACTCTCTTTCACTACCTCTCTCTTATATGATTAAAATGTTACTCTAGGTGATCAGTTCAGATCACTTTCACTTATTTAAATTATGAAAAGATTCGCTTTTACTTATAAGCACAGCGTCTGAACTTTTTTAAGAAATGAATGCGAGCAGCTTCAGTTTTCTACACTGAACCGCTTTAGAATCTCTCTTCTTCTGCTATGTGGTTGATTGGTTATAGTTTTAAAGCTAAATGCTAAAATATAGATTTTAAAGAGATTACAGTCCCTTTAAGCATGAACCGGTTGCTATCGTTTGTAAAGAAATGCAGGAGACATTATCGTATTGTAAATGACCCACCAGTAGCGGGCTACCTAGCATTCCGAAAACACGCATTAAGAAAAAAAAAAAAAAAAAAATACAACAAATTGAAGAAGAAAAGAATTTCTTTTTTTTTCTCGTTTTTTTTGTTCGTTTTCTTTTTTGTTGTTTTTTTTCGCTTTATTAAAAACGGTGCATACGTACTTATGATATTACGAGTTGAAATGTTATTATTGAGCTTAAGAAAATTTATATTTTATTTATTATTTGTCCATTGCTCGTCTTTCCTACATGACTGGTCTGTGTTAAAGAAAACGTTTCGCTTATTTCAACAGGCCAAGCTGCAAACGAGCTTGGAGCGTGCCCAACCCAATTATGACATTGTGTTTAAATGTCGTTCCACGTAAGTATTTCAAGCAATATGATCATCTGAAAGCAAATCCGAAATGCTCGTCACGCCAAGCGAATAATGATTTTGACCGATCGCGATTCTGAATAAAATAACAAGACAATCAATCATTTTTAACTGTTAACGATTAAAATATTTTGTTAAAGTTACAATTGGTGATTTTCAAATTGGAAACCTCTTCTAGAAGAATTATTTCGGGCAGATTGTGTTTCAGTCGATCTTATGATCAGCAGCTAAGTATCGAGACTATGCAACGTTTAAGAGTTTTTGGTTTAATTTCCACAATTCCGAGAAGTAAAATTTGATCTACGGATTGAAACTTTACAAACAAGATCAGCAATAGACTATCAGAAATATACTATATCTTGTTTAGTATTAATGTAGGGTGTTAATTTAATCTAAAGGCTTAGTTTCAAAAGCTATAAACTCGAGAGGATGCTGCAAGCTCTACTAGTCGAAAGGAAACTACTTTTTGAAGGATAAGATTGGGATCACTCGAAGTTTCACATTGCACCCAGATATGATCTTGATGGATGCACAAGACCAGCTAAAGAATGGAAGGGAAAACGAACGAAAACTGACTGAAGCACGACAAAAATGCAAAATGTATCTTAAAAGTTACTTACTCACTATATAACTCTTGTACTTATTACCTTTACCATCATACATTTACACTAAAGAAATAAATGATAGAACTAAAGTAGGCTGCGAACTAACAACTAAGACAGGCGACTCTACATTTACAAAAATATATAATCTTGATAGTTAGTCTAATTGTATTAATAAAGTCAAATATGTTATTGATGTTATGTCCCTCAGTTACTTTCAAAATGTCCATAACATTAGGTCTCACTCTTGTGAAGAATTTTCGAAAGAGTTTGGTATTTACAAAGGGTTTGTTTAACTGTACGATTTTATCCATCATTGCAAGTTAGGGGAGTAGGTGTGTCACGGATACGACCAAGGCGATTTCTTGCAATTAGTTATATCGTGATTTTGCCGACATTGACCGAACACAGTGATGGAGCAAGGTTAGCATTAGTATGAGATTATTGTGTAGTAGTAGTGTTGTCATGGTTGTCTCTAACTTTTTTTTTTCTTATATATTTTTTAAAGGCAGTCGTTTTTATTGTGCCAACCGTAATTAAAGATTCGAAGGCCTTGGGTTTGGTTGGTAGGTCCGCTCGTTGATTTCCCAAGAGACCTAGAGAAGTTGGCACTCAAAAAATTATAATTGTGCATCCGCAAGAGGGCCATGGTACTCCTTAACATTTTAGTGGTGTTTAGTTTTTATTAGCGAGTCACTATCAATGATGACAACCGTTCGGAGTGTAGTGTTGCGAAAAAGGTTTGTGGCTTGAAGAATAAGTTGAGACTGTTTCGTCTAGAAGATGGTTAATCTGGTCTTCAGTTGTGGCATCTATTACTGCCTAAGCATGGGACAGGCCGTCACTCTTTGAAGAGGCTGTACAAAGTAGATGTCAATCATAGCTTTACAAAAAGTGACTTTTCTCTCAAGACGGGATTGGGCTTATAGCCGTTTTGTATGCTATCAATGAAATATCACAAGAATTGACTTTTAAGGCGTAGGGTGGATTGATTTATAACTTTCCGGTTATGCTTACAATCACCATAATTATAATTGTATATTTGTAATAATTAATTTAATTAAAGTGTATAGTTGGAAATTAAATTTAATTTCAAGATTTCGTTGGAATTTGAATATCTTAATAATAAGATAGAAACCCGAAGAGGTCTTCTCCTCCGGCACAAGTATTTCTCAGACATTTGTTTTATTTCATTAACAGTAACAATCAACAGGTTGATGATGAAACTAATTTTGATCTACAACTGGGAGATTTAAAGGGATTTCACCGTTTAAGGTCACATAGAAGCGTGGCACTCTTTTTGCATGGCTGGAGGGATGAGGGCAGTAAACAGTGGGTGCAAGAAATGTTAACAAGTATAAAATGCAAAAAAAAAAAAAAAAAAAAAAAAAAAAAAAAATAGTAAAAGAAACTGAAGTTATTTCTCCCGTTTGATTCTTACAGCTTGGATTCACTTTCAGCCTAGTCATTATATTTGTATAGTTGATTGGGGTCATCTCTCACAGAATGATTACAAAGCCGCTTCGGGATCTATATTTGAGGTAGGTCTCACAGTGGCCGCTATAGTCGAGTCTATGGAAGCGATAAATCCTCGCTTCAGTCGTAAAAATGTTACTATAGCGGGTTTTAGTTTGGGAGCACATGCAGCTGGATTTGCCGGATCATTATTAAATGGTGAATTGGAGCAAATTATCGCTTTGGATCCGGCTGCACCCATGTTCACTATGCCAACCATTGTTGCACCCAAATATCGTCTCGACGAAAATGATGCTCAGTTTGTTCAAGTGTTGCACACATCAAGCGGTACTTTAGGTACAAGCCTTAAGTGCGGCCATGCTGATTTCTATCCCAACGGTGGCACCGTACCTCAACCTAACTGCCAACAATCGAGCCAAATTCCAGAAACACGTAACCGCAGTAAGTGAACGCGAAAACCAATTCATTTACTGCTCACAGCATATGTATGCGAACGCGTATTGGATCTTAGATGTTTATGTTATTTGCTTTGCTTTACAGATCCGATCTCTTGCAGCCATTCAACAGCCGCTGTATTTTTTAAACAATCAATGGACCCAATTTACCCATTTCTCGGCACTCATTGTGACAGTTATACGGATTTTGTTAACGGCCTTTGCGCACATGGTCATCTTGGCCGCTTTGGCGTGCATTCAAAGCAACTCAATCATGGAAATTTCTACTTCATTACAGAGCCTGAGGAGCCGTATGTAAAGCCAGTGAGCATAGCTCGACGACGGTTCGTAACGTTATTGCGATTCAATAAACTCATTTCTTAATGAATCTATGAGAGTAAACGCGGGTATATGTCTGCGTATAAGTTTGTATGTACGTATGTACGTATATGTTGTATGTGTTGTGATTATGCGTGTGCGTGTGCATGTGACTATGTATTAAATTTTCCCAAGTAATAAATGGTGGAAACTGTGTAACAAACTTATTCTCGGAATTTTCCTCATTTACGCGTGTTGCGTTGACGAAATGCGGTTTTTTCATTCGAAAATTTCATTGAAAATTCAGTTAGTTGCGAAATGACGTTTGATGCAAACAGTCAAAAATTCTTGCATAGAAATGCTATTATGTGTAACCACACAAACATGCACATATGCAGGCATACGCAACTCTACGACGATTATTGTACGATGTTACGTATGTATGTATGTATGTATGTATGTATATATATATATATGTAAGTAGCAGGCACGTGTTTGTTGGATATAATGTTGGAAATGACGTTCCATATACTTTGTGGCATGAATTTACGAACATTTGTTACATCGTTAATGGCGTAATTATGTCAGTTTATATATATATATGTGTGTACGCGTACATATGTCTGCAGGCATGCCTTGCTTCTTGCCAGCTTGTCTGCATGTAGACACGGATGAGGTAGTTTATTGCATTTCATATGTACGCGTATTGTGTGCCATATTATCACAAATTTTTCGATTGTTGGCAGTTTACTACTGCATACGTTAAGTCTAATAAGCTGTGAACTGAACTTTGTTTAAATTTAAAACACTTTGGTTAATTCTTCATTTTTACGTATTTTTCCTTTTTTTTTTTTTTTTTTTAGGTATAAACTGAACAATAATTTTAATTCTTTTTTTTTCTTTGCAAAGAGTTCTTACTTATGTACTTACTTTGTACACTTGCATTGCATGCCGTAGAATATGTTCTGTGGATTCGTAAGTGATACGGTGTTAGGAAACATAACTGGAGAAGAGTGGGTAGTTGTTTGTAATATCGGAACAGAAAAAACAAAATTAGACAATGGATTAACGATCATTAAAAGCATACGTGAAAGTTTTTCGTTAAAAGAAAAAAAAAAAAAAAAAAGAAGAAGAAGAAGAAGAAGAAGATTTTCACTTGCTAGAATTCCCGCTTTGCAAAAGCTACGTAATACACTTAATCGTTTTACTGAAATAATGTTTTGAAAAATAATCCATTAAGGTAATCGTTATCGATAGTTCGATCTTGCCCTATTTCCTTAACAAGATTTTACACCGCAAAGCCGCTACCCGTGTGTGTGAGTTGCGCATCATATATCCGATTTGTATGGATATAAATGGAGGGATGAAGGGATTCAAGTTTCACCGGATCTCGGATTGTTGTTAACGGAACTAGAATTGTTGAAAATCATTTCGCGAGGAAAATTGTTGCCGCGTAAGTGTGTCATTATAAAAAGTCGGAGAGAGAGGCAAAAGAAAATAAACTAAATATAAGCAAAAAGATATAACTTACCCTCATAAAATAATCTTTTATGGTATATTCTTCCTGTGTCCATTCATTTGCTAACTTTTAAAATATTCAATCCAAGCCTATACCCATTTCTCGGAAGATTTTCATTGATTAAAATATAAAGTACGTTAAGAAACTTCGTAACTCCAAGTTAGCCTAATAGATTTGACTAACATTCCTTTGTCTTATTCTATTGATTTAAATGCTAATACGATTTCATTACGAAGCTTAACTCGGAACTGAACAATAGCCCGCTCGCCACTTACCCTTTGTTCTTGCAATTCAGGATCGTAGTGATGAATTTAAACAAATGTTGTTGAGAATTTAACGAGTTCGGCATAGATCTCTTTGACATCTTTTTTGAATCTTACTCGTTAGTTAAAATCCCTTTATTTCGTTGGTCTGTTGAATGTCGATTAATTCGGGAGTTTAAAAAGTTTCTGAACGAACTTAAACTTCTGATAACTTAAGACACCCAATAAGTATCTGTGTATCTGTGTGTTCGCCATAATATAGAGATTCTGATAGGATAAGATATATCCCGCAATTATAATACAAAACGAAAGCACTTAACCGATTTCGTTGACATTTTTACGCTTGGCGGCAGTAGTGGACACTCTTGTATCTCTTTCTACATTCAATATCCATTATCCAAGAAGAAGCACACATACTTTAGCATCAATTCCATTTCAAAACTTTAGTTATCTATTGCTTACGATGGCAACTAAATATGTATTAAAACCAATTGATAGTAATCAGTGTTTAACACTGAAAACTTTGTTATTGTCGTAGTATTTGCCCTTTGTTTTACATCAAATCTTTGTAGCCTCCTTTTGATCTGCTGAGAACACTTGCCCACTTTTGGAAAAAGATGGAGCAGCCATAAGGGACTAACGCACGCAATGGATGAAAAATGTGGATTACGTAGTGTTCCTGCATGAGTAGTCGAGGAGGTAAAAATCGCGTAGATGTTCTTAATGCAGTAGTGTCGTAGCTATAGTGAGTGTTCAATCAGGTAATGGCATAACACTTGTCAATCGGGTATATACGCACTAGACTGCGGCCACCACCTCCCTGTTTCCGTTTCTCTAACCTCACTTTTCTTCTATCCGTGACCGTGTTACGCAAATGAGAGACATATACTGAGTGATTAGTTATCAAAAAAAAAAAAAAAAAAAAAAAAAAAAAAACAATAATTTGGACTATATAGTGTATGTTACGAATGAGGCAAAGGATGTTTGATGTATGATCCTTTTGCCCTGTCTGTCTATTATTGTTTTCGAAAATTCGCAAAGTATCGAGTTTTTCGTCTTTTTTTAAAGACGAACTAAGCGAACAGACAACAGGGATATAAAGCCTATTGAAAAAATAATATAACGACTCACCACACAATACCACGGATCCCAATGAACCCATGATTGACTTTAACTCATTTTCGAAGACTAGGTTCTTGTGTACTGTCGACCGCAGACTGAACTTGAATATTTAGTACCTGTGACGTGATGTCATAAATGGTTATTGAAATATCGCAACTGAAGTTTAGGAATATGGAATACAAACTGAATGCAAATAAATTCCCCGAACGATCTAGGAATCGTAAGATGTTCAATTCAATTCGTGGATTAGAAATTTTAAATATCTCGGTTGCTTTTTGTTGTTTTCTTCCATAGGTGTTTTCTTATTAAGGTATAAAAGGGGGGAACACACTTTCAGTTACAGGTATGTTGTTGAGTGTTTTTTTATTAAAATACTTTACACATACACGCAATGTTAAGGGTTCCGATTAAATATTAGTTAGTTAGTGTTACTTGTGTGTGGCATGCCTTGCGAAAGTAATTTATTTGTGCTTGTCTTTCAATTTTATTCTTTCTTATTTTTACTTTACGTCGCGCTCTTCCCACTCTCTCTTGCTCTAACTCGCCTTAGCTTGCAATGTTTATGAAATTTATAGCTTGTACAGCAGTTAAAATGAACTTTAGTTCACGTAGCGGCTATGTTAGTTAGAACTCTTCGTGTATCTATATCTATATTGTGTTGGTAGCCTAATGTTAAGCTAAAATATTAATAATAGTTTTATCTCTATCTGAATGGGAGTGAGTACATATATATAGGAATATATATATATATATATATTTTTATGCTGGCAGTAAACATGAGTAATATTGTTTCGTTATTAGTAAAATATTTCAAGCCATTTGTTTTACCTGTATATTGTGTTGACCGCTCCCAATTTTCACACAACTTTACCCATTTGTTGATATAGAAGTATGCTTGAAATAGTCGTTTGGTATATATGTACGTTTTTAATAATTTAAAATTTATTTATTTGCGTTTGTGTATTATGAAAGCAAAGTATGATGAAGTATTTTTGTAAGGGGAGCATAACTCGAAAAAGTACTTGTGTTACTAGTTGTGGTTATAGTTGTAGTTTATATCCCTTACTTCTATAAAGTTTATTAGATTACTGTGCTATTGTTGTTTTATAGATTTTATATTTACAATATTCTCTACATATAGTTAGTTGTTGGCATTTGTTTTTATTTTTTTATTTTTTTTCGTTTTTCTTGCATTGTTATAACTTGGTCAACGATCGTTGTACGTTATACCATGTTTGTGGAAATCATTATATGCAAGTGCATGTGATGTGGTGTGTGGTTGGAGGTGATGGCGTTCATCTTTATTTTCTTAACCTGTTTTTTTTTTTTTTTTTTTTTTTTTTTCTTGCTCTTTCTCTTCATTTTGTTTTCTCTTTTATGTGTTTTGGAATTCATGTTATTGTAGAAAATTGAATTTAATACATTTTAATTATAAACTTCATAATTTACAAGGGGTCGGTACAAAGTTATAAATAAGTGTTAAAATGTCGGAAGTTTTTTGCATATTTCTGCAATGTCTAGACAAGGCTTAGCTTCGTATAGGGGTTGATGTTGGATAATTTATTAGATAACTTTGTTTATAAATACTTTACTGCAGGAATTTCAATAAGAAACATAATAAGAAAATAAGAAAATTAAGAACGTTAGAGTTGGTTAAGTGCATGCAATGAAATAATATCCTAAGGTGAGCTCGAAGGTCAAATAATGCTTTCTTCTTTTTCTTCTTCTTCTTCGTTTTCTTATACTTCCTTAATCTCATCTACCGTAACACATTAGAATTTGAGAATTTTTTTACATATTATTTACTAATGGGCAGGTCATGAGCAAACATTTTTCAATCAATTATGTGCGAATATGAGTTTTATGAGTGTTTTGTTTTTTTTTTTTTTTTTTTCCAATTTTCTTCTCCTTCTACTTTTAATCGTTTAATCAATCCAGAAGCAGCAGCATACACTGGCAATACACAAACAAACGTTTTCAGTATAATTCGTATTTATTTAAGCATAACGTCTCTTATGCGTCTTTAATATATTTTCTATATAATCCACAAGTGAAAGAAATTGTGTGCTTGCGCACGGAGCAGTGTTATAGATGACCTGAACTAGGTATCTTACCTATTAAATTTGAATTTTTCACGCGTATAAAATCATAGAACAGAAGAA